TTTATTAGCAGGAGCTCTAGCGACAGAAGTGTAACTTTGGGTGATCAAATTATTAAAAGGTGTGAACGATTTAGATATCTCGGGTTTGTTGTTCAAAACGATGGTGATACAGATGGGGATGTTAGTAGTAGAATTCAAGTTGGCTGGTTGAAGTGGAGGGCTGCTTCGGGCCTTTTGTGTGATAGAAAAGTTCCGCTTTGATTGAAAGGAAAATTTTATAAGATGGTGGTGAGACCTGCAATGCTCTATGGCATCGAATGTTGGCCTTTAAAAGAGAAGCATAATACTAAGATAAGTGTTGTCGAGAATAGAATGATTAGGTAGATGAGTTGCTTTACAATTTGAGAATTTAAGCCCATATTTTTTTTGCTTTAGTTATGGATGGTCTTATTGGACATTTACATGAGGATGTACCTTCGTGTATGTTTTTTGTTGATGATATCTAATGGTGAATCTGGCATAAATCTAAGTTTGGATTTATGCCAGATTCACCATTAGATTCGACTTATGTTATGTTAAGAGAGGCAAAGGTAGACCTAGGAAGACTTCGGCTTATAGTATAAAAAATGCTATTAATTTATTAGAACTAAATGAAAATATGACACTAAATATGATGCAATGGAGAAAAAGGATTCATGTAGACGACCCCACGTAGTAGGATTAAGGCTTTGTTGTTGTTGTTGTAATATGTTTACCATCTTCAATGTTGTTGATCTCATGTCGTACTCCGAGGATTCGAACGCTTCCAAAAAAGAAGACGATGTCTCCCTTACTCAGGAAGAGTGATGCAGAAGTGACTCGTGTGATCCCAAATATGTGGCATGAAAGCGAAAATGAATTTCACACGGCGAGCATTGGGTGGGGGGAGGGGGGCTTTACTTGAGGCGGAAAAAGTCCCGCTTGTTACATGATTGTCGAACCCTGTGTACCCTAGTTATACATTTCAATTTATAATTAGAGATTAATTTCATGTCTTAGTATAATTATATTGCTTAGAAACGGGTTTAAAGACTTTTTGCTCGGTTTATGATATTTGGAGACCTTTTTCTTCTTGATTTCCCCTATTTGGAGAGTTGTAACATATGTTTCTTCAAGTGGTGAATCTGTATTTTGAAGAGAATGAGTGTTGAAACCTCCTTGTTAAGAGAGGCATGAGTGTTGAAACCCTATCCTTACTTCATCATTTCCCCATTTGCCTCCTGCTTTTTATTAGGACAGCCACCAAACTGTTGTTCCGGCATCCGTTTTGTTGTCTAACGACAGTTTTTTGTCATTTCTCAACCACTGTCGGTGTTTCCATTTTGGCTCCTCATCCTACAACCCTCCTAACCCATCTCCTAGCCTTCCCACACCGACTAGTTGCCCTAGTTCAGTATCATAATGTTTAGCAACTATCTCATTGGATATGAAATTTCTGACCTCAACTCTAAAGGAACCCAATAGCAAAGGGAACATTGATATTATTTTCCATAAACAAGAAAAATATCGGAGTGATTGGCTTGCTATAACGATGCAGAATGCAAAATTGTGGCAAAACAGTGATGACCTTTAAAGCTATGGGAAAAATAAGAGGAAAGGACAAATTCAAAAACGAAGGCTGTAAGATCAGCCCAAGGGAAAAAAAATTTAAAAGCTCTGACACCATGACAAGAAGTGAAGAATTGGTTTAGTATTTAAATTCAAAAGTTTAGTAAAATTTATAGAACTCTATGAAAGCCTCTAATAGGAAATATATAAAATTGAAAAAATAAATATAATCATAAAATAATTATGACAATCACATGGATTAGTGACTTGGTTGTTGGGATCCTATCAGTCCATGAGATGCAATGAAAAAGGAATAAACTGAGGTCAGAAGTCATGCAGTGAAATTTCAACAGGCATTTCCATAGTTTGATCACTTAATTGCGTATTCTCTATTCTTGAGTTTGTTCATTTTATTTCTTTGTTAGTGGCAATTATATGAAATAGGATGAATTACAACTACCTACCACCACTTTAAATATCCAAGCCAATTAACTTAAGTAAATTGCCAATACCCAAATTGTCTTTAAATTTCCATGTTATTGAGAGTATTGTTCCACAAGAAAAATAACCTTTAACCTTGAATGATTTCAAATACAAGAAAAAGTAGAACAATGTTTTTTTCTGAAATCTTACAGTTTTTGGAATTTATTATTCAGCTATACATTAATTAAGAAAACAAAATATTTGCTTCTTGCATGTCAATCATGCATTACATTAAATTTTCATTTCATTACATTTAATTTTCCAACTGGCTGGAAATTTGATTTTTTTTTTGTTATATAAAATATATCATTGCATATCACGCCTACAAAATCAGCATCATTTCATCAAATAGAAAGCTCAAAGAAAAAAGGTGAGGAAAAAAATTTTAGTATAAACAATAATAGGGTTTGAAAAAATAATAATGCAAGTATTATACAATTATTATACAAAATAACTAAATGACAATCATCAAATCCTAGAGATGACCATCACATCAGAAGAGTTTTAGGTCATAGAAACTTAAATTAGCTGGAAAATCATCATAGAAATGATTATGGAGAGTCAATATAGAAGCACTCACTATTGATAGTATTCATAATCTAAACAAGCTTTAGATTGCACCCAAACTAATGAATTATTTGATTGGATAAAACTAAAATTTTATTTTTTACCCTCAAACTGATAGGCATGTCAAGGTGGTTAATAGAACCCTAAGAGACATACTAGAATATCTGATAGGAAAGAGCTCAAGTACCTGGTCTTTGCATCTTCCAACTTCAGAATTTTCTTTTGACAATATTATTTCAAGAACTACAAAGGAAATACAATTTGAAATAGTTATAGCTACAACCCTAGAAGACAAATTGATACAATTGACATTCCATCTCATACATTTTCAAATTTAATATGTACTTTTGTTAAATTTTTTTAGGCCTTTATGATAATGTAAGATGTTCATAAAATAAATAAAAACAAAACTGTAAAGTGATATAGGAAGAGAATCATATTTTCATTCACATTGATTATACCTCTACTAAATAGAAGAAACTACAAGTAGGAACATATGAACCTTTTAAAATCAGTAGAAAACTTGGACTTAATGCTTACTTTATTAAATTGACACATGACTGTTTTCTAAATTCATTTTTTTACATAAAAGATCTTGAACCTTATATTAAATTTGCAGGTAATCATGATCATCACTTGCAAGTACCCACATTCTTTGAGGGAAGTATCATTACTAAGAAGTGCCCATAGATCAAAAGACTACAGCAAAGTCTCTAGTAAGGTGAGAAAATCAATCACCTATTGAGGACACAGATTACAAAATATGACTTGTGGAAGAGAGCGCCAAATAATTTGAACAACTACTAATACTTCTACTCAACAGAAAAGAGTTTTTTGGGATCAAATAAAATTGATGCAACGCATCAAATGAAGCATAGCTCATTTACAATATCCCAAACTAAATCCAAATTTAGTTATGAAAATTATAGCTTTATCACTGAAATTATAAGTTGAAACTTTGATGTAACTTCGAATTTTAAAATTTAAATTACAATAAGCGGTTATTTGTTAGTTGGAAAACAATTTGAGTGGTTGAAGTAAAGTTCACTCATAGAGCAGGCCTGGCCAACTGTTCCATCCTTGGTGATTTAAAGATGGTGCCTCCCTCACTCAACTCCACCAACCGCAAGTCAACCATTTTCCCCCAATGGGATTTGAATTTTCATTTACTTAATGAATTAATCTCAAAATAACTTTTGGCTCATGTGATAAATTTGGGAAAAATATTACCCTAAGAGACATGAGGTCAACTCCCATACTCTCCTTTGATGAGAAGTGTAATATCTTATATGTTTCTTCTTACTTTCACATCTAAGTACAGCACTTCCTCTCATCCTCCGCTTAAATTCCATTAACTGGACTTTGTGCACTCCCTCTCCATCTCCATCTCATGCTATAGAAATCCACAAGAGTTGAAGCTCTCGATTTAGTCTCTTCTATAAACCCTAGAATGTCTCCTTCTCCCTCGCACCACCACATTACCTTCTTATTCATCCCTAACCCCTATATCACATCCTAGCACTATTTCCACATGCACTTCAACCAATATCTGAGCCATTCCCTTAACCTTAAATCCACAAACAATTCCTTAATCAAGACTACCACCCAGTCAACAACCTTAAACATCCAAACTGTGGCCTTCTTCTACCTGTTTCATTAACTCTTGTTGCCACCCTCCTTCCACATTCATATAGCTGAAAGGCAGATCATTCCATTTCTAGCAAATCCAAGGTCACGGTAACAATCAAAAACTTATCTTTACCATAGCATTCAAAGCAATATCTACTGCTATAAGGTCCAACTATCTAAGACACGTGCCTGCTTTTGGTGGGTTGGGGTCAGGAAGAGGGTGATTGGAGGTATTTGCATATGCATAATTTTTGTTTCTTTCTAGCACAAAAACTTTTATTAGGATACAACTAACACACTAAATATGACCAACTATGAACAAATGAAATGTCTATGCTTTGTAAGCCTCCAAAAATATGCTTTCAAAACGATTATTTCAATCCTAGCAAAAATAAATATTCGCAGCTGCACTTAAATACTATATTCAATCTATTCAATGTGACACTCATTCACAACCAAAAGACTAAATATAATCTCTCCATCAAGTAATGAATCACAAAAAAATTTTCAGCAAAAGATTTTATCAAGAAGGCAAAACAATTTTTACAAATAGCTTATTGGCTAGTGATTCCTTTAACCACAAGCATAATCATTCATGAAATAGTTCAAGGTAAACGTCCTAATTTCGTTCCAAGAAATTGGCATTAAATCGGTCTGAAGAAGGTCAAATCTATGGCAAAGCCTCAATATCAACTCAAGCATAAGCCCGCAACATAATTTCTCATACTGATTGAACCTCTTCATATATCAAAGTGACATGAAACCTAGCATATGGCTGCAAAGACAACGCTCACCTAATCCCTGATCCAGTGGCAAAGATAAGGATAGTCTGCGCGTCGTCCGGAGAGGAGATCCGGTCGATCTCGAAGCCTCGCCCCATGACGCCGCTCATTTCAACGACGTCCCCGCTCTGAAGGCAACAGAGGAGCTGGGCAGTGGATCCCTCAACCCTCTTGACCAGGAACTCGAACTCTCCACGGGTGGCGGCTAGGGAAGGCGGGGAGGCTATGGCGAGGAAAATAGGCTTGGCGTGGACGGCCGAAGGAAGGCGGAGTTGGAGATACTGGCCAGCGGTAGTATGAGCGGAGATGAGATCAGGGGAATCGGAGGCGTCGATGGAGATGTGGAATAGGGAGGAATCCGCAGAAGCGGCGCGTACGAGGGACAGAGGAGCCTGGGTCCAGGTTGGGGAATCCTGCCGAACGGAGGCGGCGGCGACGGCTAGGGAGACGAGGCGGCGACGGACGTGGAGGAGGGGGGACATGGAAGAGGGGAATTGCGAAGCTAGAGCATGGAAGGGAAAAAGCGAGGGGTACGCGGGGGAGAGAGTAAGGGTAGTCATCATTGGAGGAGAGTTTGCAGGACGCTTTTGTAGACTAGACGAAGCTGAAGATAAGTTGATCAGAGTGGATTTCTCCAACTCTTTTTTTTTTATTATTTAGGTTTTTTTCTTAACTTGGTTTATATTTTGTTAGGTTGAAAGGCAATGTGCTGCTCATTTTTCCTTTTTCTTTTTTTAAGTTTCGAATTATGAAATCTTCATTCTTCACAACAACATGGCTGCATTTTGTTAAAAGGCAAAAGAAAATCTTTGCAACCTTCCCTAGATGCTCCATAAATTTCAAATCAATTCTACCAAATCAATTTAAAATTATGTATATATATATATATATATATATATATGATAAAATATAGACAAATTTACATACATATCACATAATTCTTATTAATTTATACATCTAGCATATAAAGTTTGATATTTGCTTTTATAACACTTGGGTGTAGTGCATGACAAGTGCATGAAGAGGATAATTGAAAGGTTGCACCCACCACTATTATTAAGGCAGAGGCAATAACCAAATTTTGAAAGCCGTTTTTAAGAATGTAAGGTGCGTTAGCGTGAATCATGAGAATCTAATTGTTTAGGGGTATTTAGCATGCTTGAAGGAATGGAAGGAAAATTATTGATTTGAATGAGGTGAGGCCCTTGGGTAGATTGAGTTACATGGGAATGGCTTAGTAGGAAAGAGGTATAGATTAAGCGTGCAATTGAGGCAGTTTGTGCTTATCCAAATAAGCTGCTCAAACACAATTTTCAAATGGTGAGACGACATTTTAAAAATACCGTTGCAGTGGGTAAGTTGACTCAAACGGAGTCTAAGAGAGTTAAAAGGTGGAGAAACATGGTGGGGGAGAGAAATATCTATAGATATATATAGACATTAATTATGGTATTTTAAGCAAATTAAGTTATATGAGATGTCTCCCATCATCATAACACATGTAGCTAATGAACTTTTGTTTCAAGCCACAATACTAACAATTCAACTAACAAGTATAGCTGCAATAGACAACTCAGACCCTTCATTATATGAAATTTTACAGAAGACAAACTTTTGAAATTACACAAACCCTCATAATTTTTCCCCTTCAAAACATTCTCACTAAAAAGTCCCGCTTCCTCAGACTGTTTGTGCAATATTTCAATCCCAGACAATACAACATCCAACAATTGATTTTGAAAATGCAACTGCAAGGTAATAAAACATAACATTAAAAGCTATAAATTCCAAAGGAAAAATCATCTCATAGTTGCAATGCTTGCAGACTTGGCAACAAGGTTAGGGGGCTTGATGGCTGTGATCTCTCATCGCGGAGGAGGAGAATGGTGACCGTACCCGATTCCTTGAGCCAGGCAGCTGCAATTGCACCAGTCGACACAAAACGGCCGATGTTGAATTGTTCCATATGAAATGGAGCACCGATGGAGTCGAGAAGGGTTTCGATGACACGACGAAGAGGGCTTGCACCAGTCACTTTGCTGTGCTTTCCCCAACCAGTAAGAATGCTGAAAGAAAGACAGCCGTTTGAGATCAAATTTAAGGGGTACGTAGTTCCATATCTAACACCCAATGTTTGATATTTCCACTTAAAACACCTTGGTGTTATAAACCTATGCACGAAAAAGTGTAGTTCACTTTTAAAAAAATAGCGGATGGCATTTTTATGTGAAATTAAAGATTTGATTGGTGTACATGCATATATAGTACATTTGTACTTTAAACCTATGCATGAAAATGTGTATTTCACTCTTAAAAAGTATTAATAGTGCTATTTTTAATGTGATATTAAAAATTTTGAGTGTCATCTGTGTGCATATAAAATTTTAGGTGTGAGATATGTAAATTCATTAGAATTGTGTGCTGGGTATGTAAATGCCCAAAAAAATACAATAAACATGCAAATTATAAGCATGGGAAACATTTATAAATCAGTTAAACTTTCAGTGTACCTAACAATTTCTGGCAGCTTCTGGCCTCTGGAGACAATAGCGCTCATGCGAAGAAGCCATGCATGAACCATAGCTTGCGCAGCACCAGAGGACATGAGATGCAGATCCAGGGTAAACTCATTCCATGCGTTCTCCCAAACTTGCCGCTGAACCCCTTCAACCACAACCTGCTGAGCTCGACGTCTCTGCAAATTATTAAGAAAAAATAACAGATCATAACAAGTGGCTGCTAAGCCATTTCTATAGAAAAGAAGTGAGTACAATTATGCAATTATATTATAGGAAGATTCACATATATATACCACTCAATTACTTTGTATTTATGTATCTAACACCTAATCTTCAATTTTTTGTTATATAGTTGTTACTTGACATAGATCAAATAGGGTGATGATTAAATCTCAATCAGCTTAACTTTTTTCAATATTAGACGTACTATCAATTAAGTAGAGGAAAAGGAACAAGTTTTCTTTTATGTAGAGAAAAACAGTGAGAGCCATGTTTTGTTGAACATTCACCGCCTAAAATAAAAGCACAAAAGCCCGTCCCTTCTAAACAAATGGAGAGGAAATCAGTACAACGAAGCAAAAAAAAGTCATCAAAGTTGAAGCGAGGAAGATGTTTTTGGAATTATTGAGATGGCTGAATCATTGAATATGGTAGATGTAAACAATAGTTGCAATGAAGACAACGTTGCTATAATGTTAGACCTGATGCAATGAAAACTATTGAGTTGACCGCAACAATTATAGCTTTTGTTGGTCCATGAACACAATGTGATGTATCGGATTTCATAAAAGATTTGTCATTCTTTTTTTTTTTTATTTATGTTAGTTTGGTCTCCGATTTGGCCTATCATAGTACAATTGAACACCAAATCATAAGATATTGGTTTTAGATTTTTGAAGTCCCAACAAGGGTAAAGGATTCCAAGAAATTTCATGGGAGGAAAACCAAAAAGAGAACAATATTTGATATGATATATTTTACAGGTTAATATGAATAAAGGTGAATATGGAAATACAACCCCAACAAAAACAAATCACAGTTGGCAAGATATTCAACAACCAAAGACTAATCAAAAGAAAAAAAGAAATAACATCCACCATCTCTCTTGCTCGTAAGAAGCGAATATACATAGTATTAATTTTCCATATTGCCCTCTAAAGATCAATCTTTATCGCACCTATAAAACAAACCAAATTGATTTCTAAGTAACAAAGGAAAATATAATAATCTGAAAAATTGATATAAATATGTTCTAAGGGAGCACGTACCTGTCCGTAATGCCAAAGCATATCAGTAAGAGCATTGTAGAAACCAGATGAAGTAAGGTTATCCATGCAGCTTACTTCATCAAATAGAGAACGAGCTCGAAGCCAAGCATCACTACAGCCCACCAAAAGCCCAAGTGCAACCCCATAAACAAAGCTGTCGAACAACCGAAGTTGCTCTAGCAATAAGGATGCATCTTCGAAGGAATCACAACGACTGTACAAGAGTTTAAACACATCAGATGTGAGGCCTAAAAGCAATAAGATATAAAGTTAAGAATAGAAGACCGTGATCTTGAGTATCCATGCTAGCATTATAAGCAGTTTTTTTTTAAGTTGGATTAATATTATAAACAGTTTTTTAAGTTGGATTAACATTATAAACAGATTTTAAAGCTAGAGTAATCACGCAACATTCCAATTAGAAGCACTTTGGATGTGTCCAGAATGTTAATAAGGAGACCCTCTGAACTACCCAACGTAGAAAAGGAATACAAGCTGCAGCATTAGTGCCATTTTTAGAGGCAATCAATGAAAAAAAAAAACCGGCATTTGAGGAAAAAACTATAGTGATTATATAATTATTAGGAAGACTTACATAAACATCACTTAATTTTTTTCTGTATTCACATGTATAACACCTAAATTTCAATTTTTACATATATGTCACCTTACCTATGCATGAAAAAGGTGTACTCCACCTTTTTGAAGTTAAAATGGCGGTAATTATTGCCTCAATGATATTACTTCCACTGCCTTGACTTCCTACTTTATTTTCCTTTATCATTAGCACAATAAATTAGTTTGCCGTCCACCTCAACATCTTCAAAGCTTCACAAATGTATCATTCTCTATTTTAAATTTTAAATTAAGCTTTTGAATATGATTGGCATCACTGTATTCTCGTTCCCTCATCATTCTCTTCCCGTAGACTTGTGCCTTTTGACTTGATACATGCTGACATCAAGAAATCAAATCGAGTCAACTCATCGGGGTTTTGGTTATGTGGTTTCCTTCATTAGTGACCATACAAAGGTTAATAATGTTTACATGTTGGAGTGAAAAACAGATGTTTTCTTGGTATTAGATATATGGGAAATTTGCATACCTAACACACAATTCATGTGTTTTTATAAACTTTCATATTTACATACATAGCCGCACATTGTTGCCTGAAACCTATGCATAAAAATGTGTTTTACTTCCAAAAAGTGGTAATAGTACTATTTTTTATGTGATATTAAATATTTGAGTGTTGCGTGTGTAAATATGAAAGTTTAGGCCTGAGATATGTAAATACATTACAGTTGCGTACTATGTATCTGAATGCCCCTAGATATACTTTATTAAGAAATAAAAGTTTAATTTTTTATTCAAATTAAAACCCTTTACATTAATAATGCTCTTAAATATCAGCAATCTCCTTTAATTATTAAGCATCAACCATCATGTTTATATGCATCTCAACAAAATAAAGTATTTGAATGTAAGCATCAACATTTTTATGATATCAGTCGCACCTTAATGTTTCACATGCATGTTACCTAACATTTCTTTGGTGTCATTCCAATTGATAGTTAAATAAACTTGAGTGTCTACTGCTCTTGGTGGTGCTACCCTCATTCTAAGCTTTTTATATTCGAAAACTTACTTTTCAACTTACTCCTAGAGTTTTCAACCATATTTATCGTATCCACTCTCTTCGCTGACGCTGACTTTTGCTTATTTGCTTTATTTTACAGAATGAGATTCTTACTTACTTTAAGGCTTAATTTGATTTCTTCTTTCTACCAACAAGTTGGTAGAAAGAATTGGCCAATTTTTCCCTTTATTTTCCAAATCTTGCTATGAAAAATTGCTTTTGGAACAACATGATAGAAATTATCGTTGAGAAAGTAGCTTTAAAAAAATATATAAAAATAAGGTGAAAAAGCACAAGTTATGCAAAACAAAAGCCTAATATTTGTAGAGCTTATTTACTAGGTATCTTGTGCTTACCATTCATTTGCAATATACTAAAAGGGGCCTGCCTTCCCCACAATGGCATAAACAAATTTTGTTAAAAAAGAGAGTAGCAAGCTCTTACCTACAAGCATTCAATATAGCAGAGAAAGTTACAACATTTGGTGTCACTCTTTGTTGTATCATTCTCTGAAACAATCCCAAAATGCAAAACAAGTCCTCGGATTTCTTCATTGCTCCTTCCACCATTGGTTTCACTATTTCTTTGGTCAGATTTCCAAAAATCCTAACAATTTGATTGCAATCTCCCTCAGCTTCTACTACCCTATTCTCAATACCTCCCTGCACAAAAATCCTTGACTTACCAAAACCATCAATGATGGTATTATAAGTTACTACATTTGGTTCAATTCCAATATGTGTCATCTCATCAAGCAACCGCACCGCAAGCTTCACCAAGCCATTCTTAGCAAGCATATCTATAAAAGAGCTGTATAAAACTACATCAGCCTTCAATCCTGATTCCTTAAATTCCAAGAAAACATTAGCAGCAACTTCATACATGCCAGCTTTTGAATAGATATCCATTAAAGTTGAGTAAGTTAACACATTTGAGGCAACTCCCCTCTCCCTCATATCCCGAATCAAATAACTTACAACATCAAATCTTCCTTGCTTCCCATACCCAGTGATCAAAGAATTATAAGTAATTATGTCCTTCTCTATGCTCATAACTTCCATTTCCTCACAAACTCCTGTAATTTCCTCATACCTTGCAGATTTTACAAAAATAGAAAGCAACGTATTGTAACACACACGATCCAATTGAATCCCCAGGGACTTCATCTCCATATATAAATTAAGCGCTTCTTCATGTCTGTCCAGCTTGGCGTATCCATCCATGAGGGTGCTGTAAGTAACAACATTGGGCAGGACATTGTTGGCTACCATGTCAGGAATAACATCAACAGCAAATTCCATATTACCACCCTTGCAAAGCACATCAATGAACGTGTTATAAGTATAGATATCTCGACCAATACCCAGATCAATCATTTCATCAAAAAGGATGCGGGCATCCTCAAGCCGTCCAACATGGCTGCACCCAGCAAGGAGAGAATTGAATGTCTTCCTATCAGGTAAAATTCCATCTTGAAGCATCTCTCGATAGAATCCAACAGTTACTTCAAAGTCAACTCCACCTTTCCCGCAAGCATCAATCACAGCATTATATGAAATATTATTCGGTCTCACACCGGATGCCTTCATCAACGTCAAAACTGATACAGCTTCGGAGGACAGCCCATTCCGAGCATAAGCAGATATAAGTGCAGAATAAGCATAGACGGTGTTGCCGAAACCTCGGGCTACGCCGAAATCAAAAACCTTCCTTGCAAGATCATGCCGGCCCATCTTGCCAAGGACGCCGATGGCAGCCGTGAGGAGTTTACCCTTCTCCGTGAAATTTCGCATCAAAGGAATTGAAGAAAAGAAGAAAGCAAGGACCTTTGGGGCGCATTTATCCCTGTTACCAAGCTCATGGAGGACAAAACAGTAATCTTCGGGGATTTTAAGCTTCTGTTGGGATGAGCTAAAGGTACTTACGAGGCCCTGCAGATCGTCGGGACTTGAACGGAGGAGCCGGGCAGTGATGTCCGCAGCTGCCAGAGATGCGCTCCGTTGTTGAGAAAAGTGGGGCCTAGGAGAAGAAAGATTCCTCTTTGAGATAACTTTAGTAGTTCGGTTTTTTCGGAATTCCGGGCCAAGCAGAGGCAGAGAAAGATGATGACTATGAAGGCTAGCGGAAGAGGAAGGTGTCAGCACTTTACCATGGGCAGAACTAGCACTGCAATAAAAAGAGCTACTAACTACCGAAGAAGAAGAGGACTGTAACCTATGGGGTCTATTTTGTGGCTTATGGATATGGTTTTTGGGATTTGAATGAGGACTTTGGTAGGGTTTTGCAGCGTTTATGGAGTATGGAGGAGTAGAGGAAGCCATCTCTAAGTTTTTTTTTTTTTTTTTATGCCAAGAGAGAGACTGAAAAAATAAACCTACAAAAGAAGCGATGAATGCTGTAGAGAAAAACCAAAAAATAAAAAGAAGACGACTTTATAGATACAAGTCAAACTGTCATTTTTGCATAACAGGAGTCGGGAATTTGTGCAGAGAAGGCTTCATTAGGAACTGCGGTGGATTTGAAAGAGAAGGGGGAAGAAGAACTGCGTGGAATCAAGGTATGAGGGACAGCGGCATGAGCATGAGCAGCGGAGGTCGCAAGGAGTGGAGAAGAAGATTGTTTGTGGCCTGGAGAAATGGATAAGAAAACTAAGAGCTGGAGATGCAAGAGGCGTAGATTAAAAAAACGTGTACTTGCTCGGTAAGATAGCGCTGTAAGACGAGCAAGTATTTATACTTAGCGGGATCTACGTACTCATACACAATTATGATCAAAGATGTAAAAAAATTCGTTCGCCAACGTGTACTTGCTCGGTAAGATAGCGCTGTAAGACAATACGAAGTATTTATACTTAGCGGGATCTACTTAATCATACACAATTATGATTAAGGATGTAAAAAAATTCTTTGTTCGCGAATAGTTCATGTTCGATTCGTCAATGAATTCGCGCTTGATTCTCTCGATAAGTAACAAGTCGAACGTGAATAAGTTTTTTCGTTCGGTTAGATAAAAGAATAAAACACGAACAATAATGTGTTCGTTCGTGTTCGAATCGTTATTTTTCGAAATATAAAAATAATTTAAAATAATTATATATATAAACATATTAATATTAGAGATGTCAAACTAGTTTGTCGTTCGCGAACAGTTCGTGTTCCACTCGTTCGTTAAGAAACGAACACGAACAGCGACTTCACGAACAATTTAGAACACGAGCTTATTTCAAACAAACTAAATTTCAAATGAATCAAACACGAACAGAAGCTCTGCTCGTTCGTGTTCGGTTCATTTACATCCATAATTCTGATGTAATTTATATATCTAACACTTAAAAATTGTAATGGATTTATATATCTGATACTTAAAAATTAATATTTATATTTACAATATCTTTATATTAAATTATGCATGAAATCATATATTTCACTTTCAAAAAATGACGCAGAGGAGTTCTACGACAGAGGGCTTGCGAGCAATTCAGCGAAGGGTTCAGTGACGCAGAGGAGTTCCGCAACAGGCTAAAGATCGCGCGACGGTTCTGCAAGAGGATAAGTGATGGATTTTGTACAAAGGAATTTGTGCGAGCAATTCGGCAACTGAGGCAGAAGAATTCACAAGAAAAGTTTGCGGTATAACAAATTTTAAATGGCAATTTCTGGTGCAAAATTCAAAGTGGTGAAGTTTGATGGAACTAGAAACTTCGGATTGTGGCAAACAAGGGAGAAAGATTTATTGGCACAGAAAGGAATCTTGAAGGTTTTATGGGCAACAAAACCAGATACCATTGAGGATAAAGATTGAGAAGAATTGCAACAACGAACGACAACAATCATATTCTTATGTCTGACATATGAGGTTATGTATCATGTATTGAATCTAAAATCTCCATGAGAGATATGAAAAAAATTTGAAACTCAGTTTATGTTCAAATCTCTAGCAAATAAATTGTATCTGAAGCAAAAACTATATTGACTGAAGATGCAAGAAAGTTCTGATCTGACGCAACACGTGAATATTTTTAATCAAATAATCACGGATTTATCACGACTTGATGTGAATATTGAAGATGAAGTTCGAGCAATGATTTTATTGTGTTCATTGTATTCCTCTTATGACACGCATAGTGACTACTCTTACATATGAGAAAAAAACAATCAAAGTTAATGAGATTACTGCAGCATTGTTAGCTCATAACCAATGGAAGCAGCATGCATGGGAAAGTTCTCATGATGATAGTTTATATGTTAACGGTAATCATGATCGTGGAAGGAAGAAATAGAAGGAGGGTTCTGGAAGACGAATTTCTAGATCAAAATCTAAAGGCAAAAAGATGATTCATTGCTACGAGTGCAAGGAGTCGGGTTATATTAGGAAAGATTGTCCAAAGCTCAAAAAGCGGGTTAAGCAGAAATGTGATGTATCATCCAAGTCTGTAAGTATGATGATGGGTGACAATTCAGATTGCAATGTTGGTGATATGCTTTCAGTTTCATCAACTCGGTTCATGAATGCATGCATGGATTCTTGATTCAGAGTGCTTTTATCACATAACACCTAACATGGAGTGGTTTACTTCATACAGGTCATATAATTCGAGCTCTGTTTATTTAGGCGATGATAGATGTTACAATATTATTGATATTGGTGATGTCAGGATTAAGATGTATTATGACACTGTTATAACATTATGAGATGTCAGTCATATTTCATATTTGAAGAAGAATTTGATTTCTTTGGGCACTTTACATAGAAATTGTTTTATTCCTAAAGCAGATGAGGATAAGAAAATTATCATAAATGTTAAGGGTGCACTGACTGTGATGAAAGGAAAGTTAATTGCAGGTAATATCTACAAATCGTTGTGAGTATCGTTATAGGTGTTCATTTTGTAAATCAGATGATGAGAATACAAAACTATGACATATGCGTCTGGGTTATCTCAGTGAACGTGGGATGGATGAATTGCATAAAAGAAATTTGTTACATGATGTTAAAAGCTACAAGCTAGATTTTTGTAATTTTATATTCTTCAAAAATAAACTAGAGTAAGTTTCATGTTTAAAAAGCCCAAAACTGAAGGAATTCTTGATTATGTGCATTCTGATGTATGGGGTCCTACCAGAGTATCGTCATTGGGAAGATCTCTGTATTATGTTACCTTTATTAATGATTTCATTAAAAAAGTTTGGGTTATTTATTAAAGCGGAAATTTGAAGTTTTGTTCAAATTCAAGCTGTGGAAAGCTGAGGTGAAGAACCAAACTGACAGAAAGATCAAGTATATGAGGTCTAAGAATAACACAAAATACATAGATTTGCAAAGGATGAATATGTCCATAACTGAAAGGGCGAGATGAATGCAGGGCTTCCTAAAAATTTCTAGGCAGAGGCTGTGAATACGACATGTTATTTCATCAATAGATCTCTCCGGGCATCATTAGGTGGCAAGGTTGCATAAGAGGTATGAACAAGTGATGCAATTAACTTTGATCATTTATAAATTTTTGTTGTTCTGCTTAAGTGCATGTACCCAGTGACGAAAAATCAAAACTTGATTCAAAATCCAAGAAGTGCATCTTTCCGGGCTACAAGAAATGTTTCGAAGGATACAAGTCTTAGGATTTAATTGCAAAAAAGATGGTGATTGATCCACCTTAAAATTACTTACTTTTTATGCACATTTTGAATATATTATGCTTTAATGAAGAGCATTTTTTTATTGCAGGTGCAAGAAAAAGAGTTTAAGAGTAAAAATGAACAAAAATACATAAAAAAGGAGAAAAATGGGCTAAATTGAAGAAAATTATTAAAGTACCTGAACTGGTGTCTAGGCGTCAGATACAAAAATTGGCTGGCGCTTAGGCACAACAATTGAGCGTCTAGGCGTCATCGTTACTTTCGAGAAGATTCATTGAATGAGGCTGAATTTTGATAAGAAGTCTAAAACAAACCTTTGTCATTTTTGAAGCTCTATAAATATGGATTAATTCCAAAGGGCTAAGGGGTCGGATTTAGAGAGTATCATAATGTGAGTGTGTTAAGTGCGTGAGAAGTTTTTTTGTGAGTCTTTGTTATTTATGGAGTTTGTGAGTCATGTAAGTGCAGTTGGAGTAAGAGAAGTTAGAGAACTTCAAATCAGTGATTGTGAAACATTCAAGATAAGTATTGGTATTTTTGTCATTAAGTTTTGTACTTTAGATTGCAGTTTTATAAATATATTTTGTTTTGTTATTCTCATGCTTTGTGAGTAGTTTTCTTTTCTTTCTCCTTGCAATCTGAAGTAATTAAGTAAGTGATTTTTTATTTTATTTAAAACTTCTTTTATTCCTAAAAACTGTGATGATATTTTTAACGTTCCTTCATTTACTTTATAAATTGACCATGTATATTATTAAAACCTGTTGAGGAACTTAAGACCCAAAAGAGCTAAGATTTCTTGACTTATAAGTATCACATTCTACCCTGAAAAGAGCAGTCAGGATCGTCTAAAGAGGGGTGCAAATAAATTGGGAGATAAGCTTTATTGGGTGTATAATTGATGTTTCTAAAGTGACATGCTAGATTTTTTTATTAATTTGGTTTGGAGATTAGACCTAAGGGTCATTAGTAGGTATTATAAAGATGACACAGTAGGTAATCTAGAAGCGAGAGACTAGAACCTACCCAACACCACTATACATGCTGACACCAATTTTAGATTAGTTAATGCTCTTTGCACAATTCGAAATAAAGTAAATAAATATGCATGCTCCTATTTGTCACAATACCACATCTAAGTTTCTAAATAAATTTTGAAATCCTTTACTGATTATGAATTATTGACAATGAGAAAGTTTCTTTATATATATTGTTTAAGTCATTACATTTACTTTTATTTGCATATTGTAGAATTTAGTAAACTTAATTTTCATTTTTTGATAATTGTTGCAATTTTAAGTAAAGTTTTCTTAAAGTCAATTTTTTTTATTTCATTTTATTGTTTACCTATTTTTTGCCTCCTCATGGGATCGAAACTGAGGTTTTTAAAGAAAATTTTATATTATTTGAAAATATACGTATATTTACGTAGTGGTCATAGTGAGAAAACTATTTCTTTAATCATATTACATTTGTTCTCACTAGTAGCTAAATACAAATTGGGTTAACTTTTTAGCATATTAAGGAGCATAAATATCTCTGTAATTGCGGGTCGGGTCAATTATCAGTAGAGATGTCATTTTTTTATGAGCAATATATGTTGCAGCGTAATCAAGACAACGTGTCAAAGAATAGTTCCAGTTCAGATACAGTGCAGATGAATTTTGATGTGCGGTTTGTTGTGTGTTGTTTTTGTAAATATTTTTCAATATTACAAAAGACACACGACAACACTAATAATAAATATGCAATTTAATCCCAATAAAAATAGCTTCAGTGGAAATAATTTTATCTTTTAAAATCTTTAAACTGTCAAACCCATAATAATAACGCAAGTATACATATCACTCAAGTAATAAATGACTCTAATAGAATCTTAAGTATCGATTCCATAGGAAGTTGGAAATTCTTACTATAATGCAAAACAAAAAATTCAAACTACAAAATTTAAACATGAAATTTAAATCTAAAGTAATTGAGTGTATGTTATATAAAATGCAGTTTAAAAAACTAAATTAACTAAACTATTTGCTAAACTTCAAAGGTAAACTTATAAACTAAACATAGTT